TTCCTGTTGACATCGTCGCTATCTTTGTTTCCCGGGGTTGGGAGCCCCTTCTTATTGGTCTTACACCGCCGCCTCCACTCCTAGTTAAGGAGTTTTATGCTAATATTCATGATGTGGATGGCTCATCATTTACAATTTTTCTTAGAGGTCACTCTTTTCGAGTTACTCCGTCTGCGGTAGCTCTTGCGTTAGGTATACCTCAGATTCTCCATCCGACTTATCCTTACATTCTTCCTGCTTCTCTTCCGGCCGATGCCCTTGTTCGGTCGACTCTTTTGAACACCCTGTCTGCTGGGGGGCCTACGGCGATGGCCACGGGTTCCTTACCTACTAATAGACAGGTCTTGTTGCGCATCGTGTGCACAAATCTATGGCCCTTTACCCATACTTCTTCTTTACCTATGGTGCGGGCCCGTTTTCTCTATGCCCTTCTTCATGGGGACTCTATAGACCTTCCTAGTTTTGTTTGCCAACAGATTCTGGCTTCGTTTCGTACTCTTGGGGGTCGTATAGGTTTGGCTTATGCTTGTCTGATTCATAGGGTTATCCTATCTCTTGGTGCTTCTTTCCCTGAGGGGTCGTCTAGTCGTATAGGTTGTCCGATAGGATAGCAGACCATCAACCAGATTCGATCCCATGTCCCGTCCTCTTCTTCTACTCATGCTACAGCTCATGATGAGCCAGTTGATATTTTTGACTTTTCGGAGCCCCTTGATCCTATTAGTGACATCCTTTCTGGGGGTTCCCACGTCTTTCTTCCTCCTCGTTTGGATATTCCTCCGGCTCCTCTATCTCAGGCCGACCTTCGTTCGATGTCTACTTCCGCTCCAGGGGTGGCTTCCTTGCCCATTGACCCCATGGTGAAGCTTATAGGACAGATGTCTACTTTGGTCGAGCAGCAGGCTCGTATGATGGCCGAGATCACGCAATTACGTGCTGCTTCGGAGCATCAGTCTGCTGAGCTTTCTACATTCTGGCGTGCTCTAGCTATGTGTCAGCGTCAGTTACATTGGATCCGTGATCGCTTGGATGAGAGCACGAGTGACGAGACTGGTGATGAGTCTTCGAGTGCGGGTGGTGCTGCCGCGTAGTTTTTGTTTTTGCTCCTTTGTCATTTGTGACAAAAAGGGAGAGTAGATATATGATAGATAGATAGATCTCATTTTTTGATTAATTGTGATATAACTGTGGTTTTGTATCTATTCAATGGCTAGATTAAGTTTTTGATGTTTTAGCAATATTGATGTATATTTTTGGTGTTTTTGACTTACATTACTATTGCTTCTTAATCTGGCTAATGACATACGCACTATTCCCTGTTTTATTTACTGTTTCCATTTCACGTGCTTTTACACTTGGTATTGAGTTTCTGTATTTCAGAAAACAGGTTCGACAAGAGATAGCTGCTTTGGTTCAATGGATAGGTCGTTTAGAGTTACATTTCTTTTTGTGTCCTTGACTGTCTTGTGTAATTTTGTCACAGAATACTAAAGGGGGAGTTTGTTAGGAAAATGTTGTAATTGGCAATCTGTGATCAAAAGGACCAATTTGTCAAGTTTGTAAAGTCAAGGACTAATTTGTAAAGGTCTAAAAGTTTAGGGACTTGTGTTGCAATTTAGTAAGAATTATGGTATAGGTCTAGGGTAAAGTTGGGTGCCTTGAAGATGAAAACGACGCAAGATCACGCTAGAGTTTCGCCCTGACCTCGCTCGAGCCTAAATAATAGAACCTATCTCGCTAGAATTTCGCCACTGGCGCTCGAGCGAAAGTGCGTCGCTAGAGTTTTGCCGGCACTTCACTCGAGCGATAGTGCTATCCGATTTTTGGTAATTTTCCTTCCTTGCAATTTTTAGACGCTCCATACTACCAAAAATGACCTCATATATATTCAAAAGTCCTGTTTTTCATACACAACCTTTGGAAAAACACAATTGAAAGATTTTTCCTCTCAACCAAAGGATCAACTTCATAATTCCTTCTTTTCATCATATGTCTTATTAAAGAAAAACATCAAACACCTCTTAAAACAAAACACCTTTCAAAAATCCTCACTACTTCCAGAAGATCTACTGATTGAAGATCCGGGAAGGAGATTGATTGAAGAACTGGAGTTCTTGCTGATTCACGGGAAATAGAAGAAGAACAAGGCTGTGATTTTGACGCAGATCTGTAGAATCCAGAAGAGTTTTGGTTGATATAGTAAGGAGGTCAGAGTGTTGTTAGATACAGTCATGTCTAGCGTACTGTAAGTTGAAATCTTCTATAGTGAATCGTTTCTGGCTTGTGCCCAGAGTTTTTACCCAGTTACGTTTTCTCCGTCAACAATTTGTTGAGTTATTTATTGCATTCTGTCATTTTTAATTCAATTGGAAATTCAACATAGGTAGTTAAATCATGTGAATGAATTTGGACAAAGTTTAATTTATGTGACTTGTTGCATAAGTTGATTGAATTGTGAAAATTCGCATAAACACCTATTCACCCCCCTTCTAGGTGTTGTTTGGGTCGAATTATAGTCTTTTCAGGTGCAATAGAAATATTATGTTGTATTATAGATTGGTTTAGTCCATGTTACAGAGGAAATGCTGTCGAAATTTTAATAAATTTTATGTGATATCTATCTTTCAAAGCAATCTATAAGTCCTAGATTATCCAGGCTCACAGAGATATTTTCGAGACAGTTCATAAGGCCTCACTTATTGGACCAACTTATATTCTTGATACAATTTATAAGTCCCCACCTCTATGGGATCGATACATATTTTTGACGCAATTCGTAAGCCCTCATTTATTGGAATTGCTCATAATTTTGAGGTAATTTGTAAGACATCGCCTTCTTAACAACTTATATTTCAAGTCTAAGTTGCATATAAATATATGAGTCAGACTTGGGAAATTATTGTTATATCTATAAACGTATGACGGAGGGATCCCACTTGTCACTCAACATTGATTATTCAATTAGACTGGACCTATTTAATCATGCAACCTTGACTTTGGAGCTCGATCCATTAGCTCCAGTTGGCCCATTTCTATTTCTCTATATAAATATGAGTTCATTTCACACAAAATGTATGTTTTTCTAATCCTATCCAAACCCTCTCTCCTGTCTCTTGCACTCATTTCTCTCTCGTCCGGCTGTTAACTTGATCTTCAAAGTGCAAATGATTGTTAGACATTTTGTCGGAGTTGGTTGTTCAAAACCAACAAATAAAACCAAAATGGATGATGGCATGGCAAAAATCAAAATGGACGGTGGCTGAAATAAAAAAGGGTTGGTGGCCCAAAGTCATGCGATCGCATGAAACCTATCAGAGATTCCGGGGCTATTTCTTCTCTTAACCTTGCGATCGCATGGGTTTGAATCATCCTGTCGCATGGTTTAAAGTATGGACCATTGGAGGTTGTTTTCTTTCGTTGTGGATTTGAATTTGATGACTTTTGGCTTATATTGGCACCGTTTCTACATGTGGTTTATGTCTATAAATAGTGGATCCATATTGAAGGCAAAAATACATCAAAAACATTAGAAATCCCATATTACTCGACAATTAAAGATCAGATTTTGTTCATTCATATTCATCTTCAACCCTTGTGTTCTTCAAGTTTTCAAGGATTTTCACTTGTACTTTGGTGATTAATCTTTGTCAAGACTTGTTAAAATCCTACAAACCATTTGCCATCGACCTTCGAAGCATCTTAAATTATTAGGAGAAAGGGCAAATATCGTTTGAGAACAACAAACTCGTGTTCAAGTCATTCGTTGATACAATTTCGTGATTATCTTGTTCTTGGCGTTGCCAGTTCATGTTTCGTGATTTCTACTCCAACCCGGTGAAATTTATCCAACACATTTTATTGATTGGCAGCATTTTCACACTAATGAGATATTCCAATATGTAGGTGATGTTTGTGTGAAGAGAAAATTATTGGAATTTTATTGTTTACGTATCCATGCAAAAATCGAGGTCCACAACTACGTTCACGCAAATTTTGTGAAATGAATGGTTTCTGCTACGTTGGCGCCATCATACTTGCACGGATTTGAAGATTGGTAAACTGGGTGCCAAAAATGGCAAGTTGGCAAATTTTGAGAAATGAATGGTTTCTGCTAGGTGGCATCACACTGGTTTGTTTGGTTAAAACCAAAAATATTAGTCAATTTTGATAAAAATAGATGGAATATGGGTTGTAATCCTATTTGATTTTGCCAAATATCGAATTTTTAATAAATTTTGAAAAAGTTAAGAGAATTATGTAGTTAAAAATTTGATAAAAGTTATGGATCACATATGATGGGTATTTATCATTATAATCTATAATATACCATTTAATTTTAGACCTTAGAAAAAGAAAATTAAACATAAATAGAGCTATCATGGTTGAAATTGATTACATTTTGCAAAATAAATATATAGTCGAAGAATTTGTGAAATAAGACACTAAATTACGACTGAATTTAGTTCTTCGATTTATGAAGAAATAATAATGATAATAATAAAATTATTTCTCGGCTATTTTTTGAAATACTCAATGACACATCGGTCTACAAGGTGTGACACAATTATTCATTTACTCAATATCATCAGTTGTGATAACTATGCAAAGGAATTCAAAGATTAGAACAACAAGATTCGGCTCTATCTAGATATGAATTTGAATCAAAATTTCCTGCTCTGGGTATAAAATCCAAAATCCAAGGTTGAATTCTCACCTTCTGCTGACATAACTCGCATATATCATGTACTGAGAACTTGACTGTTGACCATTGAGAATGTTATCATCTTGATGCATCCATCTTGCTATTTCTTATTTATTTTTTTGTTACTTTTTTTCAAACAAAATCGCAATCAAATTGATAAGACTAAAATTGACAGAAGAACTCAAGACAAGCTTCAACACTTACATGGTATCGGCAACAAAAGTCCATCTGCCATTAATACTGTCCCTCGTCATATGTCTCTTTGTGGCTTCATTTACCCTATAAATTGATCAAGTTTTAGAATTTCCACTACATTCTCAAAGTCCTTTCTTGCTATACTAATAAGTGAATTCTGAACAATGAAGTCTAAGGTTTTTATTCTCCTTGGTCTTGCTCTTCTTGTTTGTTCAGCTGTTGCAGACGAAGCAGTATCCATAGAGGATTCTCAAAAGAAGACAAAGGGTAAGAATATATGGAAGTACTTTCATTCTGGGTGGGCCATATTAGATTACATACGACATATGATAAATTTTGTCAATTTTCACGTCCAGAATCATTCTATTAAAAAAAATGTTGAACCCCAACCTTGAGAACCCCACCGCCCCGTTCCTGAAGTATCGTGAGGGAGGTAAATCACGGGATGTACTCAAACAGGTTAGGTAATAAGAGCTTGCCCGTACCCTGATGCCCACAAAGAGTCCAATTTCATATCTCAAGAATTGAACCATCACACTGCGGCTGCCAGCAAAGTTGAAACTACCTCACTACTGTCATTTGCACCACTGGATTATGCCCCGGGGGCTCCAGTATCATTCTATTTATCATACGTACACATATATGTAGTCATACTGGAGATATCAATTTCCAAACTAATAATTTTTACTCTGTCTACGTGCATCAATTAGACTGCAATGTTTAGCGAAATTTTAAGTTTGATTGAACATCGGTTTATATATATGCTACCTACTTTTTTTTAATTATTTTTTACATGTTCTGTAGAAGAACCGAAGCAAACCAACCAAGGCGGAGGTGGTGGCAGTTACTGTAGAAACCGGTGGTGCTGCGGTGGATGGGGTCACAATGGCTGTAATAGATACTGTTGTCGAAATGGTTAGACTATACCAAGCAAAAAATATAGTCAATTGGAATGAGAACACACACACACACACATATATATATATAAATAGAGAGAGAGAGAGAGAGCTTGAGCTTTTAGGTTTGAAATTTTAACATGCTGATTAACAATATATTTATAATTTCCCATGCAGAAAATGAAGTTGAGGCAGTACAGGAAATCAATGAACCGAAGCAAACTAACCAAGGTGGAGGTGGTGGTGGTTACTGTAGAAACCGGTGGTGCTGCGGAGGCTGGGGCCGCAATGGCTGTAATAGATACTGTTGTCGAAATGGTTAGATGTGTACCAAGCGAAATAATATATATTTGTATGTGTGTATAAAAATAATAATAATAATTAGGTATCAGGCTTTAAGTTAAAAAACTGTTAAGATGAGTAACAATATAGTTTTAATTCCCTATGCAGAAAATGCAGTTGAGGTAGCAGATGACATAAATGAACCAAAGCAACCAAAGCAGGGCGGAGGTGGTGGCGGTTACTGCAGGAACCGGTGGTGCTGCGGTGGATGGGGCCCCAGAGGCTGTAATAGATACTGTTGCCGCTATGGTTAGACGTGTACCAAGAGAAAAAAAAAAACATATATTCATATGTATTTAGGTGTCAGGCTTTAAGTTAAAAAAATTTTAAGCGGAGTAACAGTATAGTTTTAAATACCCATGCAGAAAATGAAGTTGAGGCAGCAGAGGACATAAATGAACCGAATCAACCCAACCAGGGCGGAGGTGGTGGCGGTTACTGCAGGAACCGGTGGTGCTGCGGTGGATGGGGCCCCAGAGGCTGTAATAGATACTGTTGCCGCTATGGTTAGATTTCAATGATATGGATTTACAAACAATTTATAGGTGTTTATTGATTTTAATCTTAATTCTGAATACGCCTAACATAAAATGCAGCAAATGAAGCCGAGCTAGCAGATACTGTTGATGAAAACAATATCCAAGATGGCGGTTCGGGCAGCGGCCATGGTGGAGGACACGATGGAGGCCATGGTGGTGGCGGTGGTGGACATGGTGGGGGCCACGGTGGCGGACATGGCGGCGGGGGCGGCCATGGAGGAGGTTGCAAACATGGTTGCTGCGGAGGATATGGCAACAAAGGAGGTTGCAGGTGCTGCCCCAATGCCGAAGAAGCTAAAGCCTTTGAGGAAAATCAAGCCAAAGCAGAAACCAAGAACTAGAGTTTCTACTTCGTACAAGGAGAATAATATGCCATGTAACAATGTACTATGCTAAAAAATAAATTACATGGTAATGACATGTTATAATAAAATGTAGCTGGTCTTTCTTGAAAAAAGACCACATTAAAAATCATATATGAATTTTCTAATGCATTTGGCTTTATTGGTTCATTAATTTCTGATTGCTAATTTTATTTAATGATCTTGAACGCATTAATAGTAGTCCGTTCTCAAGACGGGCAAGGGTCGTCTCATGACTTCTACTAAATCAAGCTCCATTTGATGTAACTTTAATATTTACATTAACCAAGTAGAACCCCAATCTATAAAAATGAAAAGTTACTACTTTTTAATCATGAATGTAATCTTGAACTTGATGAACGGGAATTTCACTAAAAAATGAATAGTGGTATCACATAGTGTTGTTAATATTGGAGGGATGAAGAAGAAACAAAAAGGAAATTCACAAGAAGTATGGCAACAATAAGAACAAAATCAGAAAATTGTAACAATAAATGTGAAAGTTTAAACGCGGGATCGCTGTCCTCAAACATTCTTTGCCTTCTCTCCGGTGTTTATGAGATGCTTAAGGGTATTCCGACAAATGGTTTGAATGATTGTAACAAGCCTTGTAAAGAATATCACCAAAACACAAAGTGAAATTCTTCCGAAACTTGAAGAACACGAAAATAGAATGAATATGGATATAAATCGGGACTTCATTATTTTTGAAACAAAGTATGGATTGCAAGATGTTTTCAATGTTTCTAATGAAATTGTTTTGATCATTTATCACCTATTTATAGGTATCAATCAATACATCACGAAATGGTGACAAAACAAGATGAACAGTGGCAACTTTTAATCCAAAACGGCTTCCAAGTTTCAAATTGAAAAATCTGTCAACGGCTATTTTTTAACAATATGCGTACGCATAGTATAAACCTTGCGTATGCATAGTAGAAGCAAATTTGATTCTGGTCTTGCCAAAACAAATCTTGTGTACACATAAAATTAAGCATGTGCGTACGCATAGGCAAAAAATCAAATTTTACATTTTTCAATTTCTTTTGATTCTATCAATTCCACAATTGAGCCCAACAATTAGTCCATTATCATTTCATTGATTTTGAATAAATATTCAAGAATTCCCCACTTATTCAAAATCAATACGATCACATATTCAAATTGACGACACTTATGCATAAGGATTAGATATCTTTCGATTTGAATATAACCATAGTGTAATTGAAACAAAGTAAAGTTGGAATTAGAGGTAGCATGGAATCTTTGAACCAATGATTCCTTGTGACAATACCGATAAGAACGCACACATAACTATCACGTGTTCTCAAGTTCTCCAACTCCCTTAGCTCTTTTATGGCCGTGCGCTCATCCTATTTAATGAACTTTTAAGAAAGAAATTCAAACTCTCTATTAAGGCGGCACCACCTTGAAGTTCATTTAGGTGAAGTTCTTCCAGTATTTTTGTTACTTTTAGAGATACTTGTGTTTTAGAACTGAACTTCATTAATAGTTTTAAGCTCAACACTCACTTCAGTAACAATAAGGATTATTTAATTAGGATAGGGTCATTGCGGATTTAAATAATGCTGCAACTATTCACATATCGAACGACTTGTTATTACCCTTTGAACCCGTGGATTACCTTTTGAGTAATGACGGGTAGAGTTGTCGTCATTGGTAGACCTTATTAATTAAGGAGTTTCAACCCCTTCCTATTCGAAGTAGATGCCACTAAATCTCTATTTAGAGGTTTAGTCAAAGGATGCACTAAATTCTCAATTGACCTTACAGAATTTAGGAAAATTATTCTATTTTTGATTAATTTCCTTATGTAGTCATGTCTTAAACTCATATGTCTAGACTTTCCATTGTATACTTCATTGTATGCTTTTGCTAATGTGGCTTAACTATCACAACATGATAGGTATTGAAGAAATATTCTTCGATCCCAAAGGTATTTCATAATAGACATCCTTAAGCCACTCAGCCTCTTTCCCGATATCCAATAGTGCTACAAATTCAGATTCTATGGTTGAGTGTATTATGCATGTTTGTTTATTTGATTTCCAAGAAAAAGCACATCCCCTTAGAGTGAACACCCAACCCAATGTGGATTTACTTTCACCTGTGCTTGATATCCAACTAGCATCGGTAAATCCTTCTAATACCATCGGGAATTTATCATATTGTATACCTAAGTTCTTAGTTTTCTTTAAGTATCCAAGAACTCTCCCAATGGCTCTCCAATGATCATTGCTTGGATTACTAGTAAATCTACTAAGTTTACTAATTGCATATGATATATCCGGTCTTGTGCATTGAACTGCATACATAAGACTTTCAATAGCACTAGCATATTCCAACCGAGCAATCCCCCTTCCATCATTCTTTACGAGTTTTGAACTTGGATCAATTGGGGTACTATATTCTTTTATGTTCAAGTGTTTGAACTTGTTTATCACATTCTCGATATAATGTGATTGACTTAGGTGATAACTGCCACTAGTCTTTGTGACTTTGATACCCAAAATGGTATTCACATGTCCAAGATCCTTCATTTTGAATGTGGAAGATAAAAACCTCTTCATTTCTTTTATATCGTCCATGTGATTACTTATAATCAACATGTCGTCAACATACAAGCATATAAATATCATGTAATCATCACACACTTTAGAATAAAAACATCTATCTACGCTATTATATTTAAATTCGAATGATATTATTGCTAAGTCAAACTTCTCATGTCATTTCTTATGTGCCTGCGTCAAACCATATAATGATTTTACTAACTTGCATACCTTATGTTCATTTCCAGGTAGAATGAACACTTCGGGTTGCTCCATAAGACCTCCTCATCGAGATCCCCATTTAAGAAAGTCGTCTTGACATCCATCTAATGAACATGCAAGTCATGTATTGAAGCCAATTCGATTAATATCCTAATTGATGTTATTCTAGCTACCGATGCATAAGTGTCAAAATAGTCGATCCCTTCCTTTTGTCGATATCCTTTGGTTACTAATCTAGCCTTGAAGGTATTTAGAGAACCATCAACATTATATTTCCTCCTAAATACCCATTTACATCCTATAGGTTTGGATCCTGGTGGTAAATCGACAAGTTCCCAAGTTTTATTAGACATTATTGAATCCATTTCATCTTTAATTGCATCTTTCCAGAAAATGCTATCACGAGAAACTATAGCTTCTTTATATGTTTTAGGGTCGATTTCCACTACTAGAACAAAATGAATTGTCCTTACAACATTCAACTCATTTCCTTCTACTAAGTAAAAGGATATAAGTTGAGAATCAATTTCGTTCAGTCTCAAAGATTTCTCAACTCGAGTTCTCTTGCTTCTTCGTGGTTCACTAGACTCATCAATATCTTTAGAAGACATTCCATCACATGTTCCACTTGAGCTAGGGATATTTTCAATATTTTCCCTCAATTCATTATCCGATGATAACAGATCTTCAAAGAATTTTACATCACTTGATTCGATAATCACATTGGTCAATCTATAAGATTTGCTATTATTAGCATATCCAACAAAAGCACATTTAATACCTCTTTGACCCAATTTGGTCCTATTAGGATTTGTGTTCTTGCAATAAGCAAGATATCCCCACACTTTGAAGTATCCAATGTTCGATTTTCTTCCTTTCCATAATTCAAAAGGAGAAAACTTTGTATATTTAGAATGAATCCTATTAAGTATCCTACATGCACTTAATAAAACTTCACCCCATAAACTAAATGGCAACTTAGCATATATAAGCATGGCATTAATCGTTTCTACTAAGGTTCTATTTTTTTCAGCCAAATCGTTTTGTTCGGGTGCCTTAGGTGCAGAACATTTGTGAATTATGTCATGTTGTTCACAATATAAATTAAATTCATTAGAAAAGTATTTACCATCTCTATCACTTCTTAGGGTCTTTATTTTCTTATTTAAGTGATTTTCAACTTCATTCTTATAAGTCTTAAACAAATCAAAGGCCTCATATTTATGTTTCATCAAATAAACATAAATATATCTTGAGCAGTTATCAATAAATGTTATGAAATATCTATTTCCATCTCTTGTTAGCATACCATTCAATTCACATATATGAGAATGAATTATTTCTAATATGCTAGAAGTCCTCTTAACACTTTGATAAGACTTTTTAACCATTTTTGCTTCTACACGTGTTTGCATTTAATGGCATCATTTCCATTATATGAAATTAAGTCACAATTTCTCATGCGTTTCATGGTACTTTTACCTATGTGACCTAATCTAGCATGCCATAAAGAAAATAAATTAATCATATAAGCAAAATCAACTTTATTTATTTCATTGTTAATAATACAAAGTTTGACCATTCATTCACATGAATAGCCTTTTCAAACAATTTTTTCGTTAAGTGATAATACAAGTTTATCGGACTCAAAGACACTTTTAATGCCCGATTTTCCCAAAAGATTTTCGCCCACTAAGTTCCTATTCATATCCGGAATATGTAGTACATTTGTGAGAGTAACATTTTTTTTCAAAATTGAAGATAATTTCTACACTTTCTTTTTCAATTACTTTGGACCTCACCTCGTTACCCATTTGAATATCTTGGTCTCCGTTCATTTCATTGTATGTTTTGAATAAAAATTTGTCGTATGATACATGCACCGTGGCACAAGTATCATACCACTAGCCGGGAACCTTTCACTTAATTGTATGTATTTCGCTCACAATGGCTACAATCTTGTCTTCTTGGTTGGAATTCACTTTACCCTCAGAGTTGTTGTGTTTTTGGTGTCTACAATCTTTTGCGTAGTGTCCAGATTTCTCACAAACAAAGCATCTTCCTTTGGTCTTCTTCTTGAACTTATTAAGGTTCCTCGAAGACTTCATTTTGTTGGTGGTTCGGATTTTTCTATAGCATTTGCTTTGGAAGTGCCCTCATAAGAGTCACTTTTATCACGCATTCTTAACTCTTCCTCAATCCGAAAATGTTTTTACAATTGTTTAAAAGAATAATCTTCAAAACTATGTATTATCTTCTTCCGATATCCTTTTCAAATTTCGGAAAGTTTGGCAATTATAGCCCCCACTTGAAAGGTCTTTGGTATTTC